GCAACTGAGAGATTCTGTTTTGTTTTAAGTGCCTGTGCCTCAGTGTCTTGCTGGGAGGTCCTGACGGCAGTTTTTTGCCTGTGTGCTCTGTGCTTTGAGTGTCCTGTCCGACTTGCAGAGTGATTTTTCGGCTGTCCACTCAGCTGGAACCTGGTTTGCTGTCAGTGCGAATCGAGGGGTGATGCTTTCGTGGTTCAGGAACATGGACCCCCCTGAAGTGACTGGCGAAGAGGCAGAGGCCTCATCACCTTCGGAGTCGTTCACATCCACTGAGAGCTTTGTCTTGCATCACCTGCGTGGATTACAGATCCAAATCAGTCGGCTGCACAGAATGCAGCTGTTTCTCGGTGACCGGATCTTCGCTCGCTTCGAGCGGTTGGAAGCTCAGCACTCGATTGCATCCTGTTTTATCCATTGGAAGCTCTGTGTTGCCCGGGCTTCTGGCCCGGAGCGGGTTCCTCGCGACTCGCTCGAACCTCAGCCTACTGCAGAGCGGCATTGAAGCGATTCGAGCCGACCACTCAGATGGCAATAGCCTTTCTTTCGTCTCAGCTTGGAGGTAGTGCACTTCGTTCGAATGCCCCGGATTACAGGGAGTCAGATGATTCTCAAGCAGCTTGTCATCGCTGCACCGTCGGGGATATCACGCCAAATCTCCCCTCAGAAGCGGGGAGCTCAGAGTGTCTTCTTAGGTGCGGTGCAATCGGGATTGCTGTTGCTGATTGTCAAGCTGTTGCGCTTTGACGCAGCCCTGTTGCAATACGAACTGCCGACAATGGCGGGAGCCTTTGCTCTAGCCTTATCTGACGATTCCAGCTCATGGCATTCGGCTTTCGACCCTCCTCGCGCTGACCCCGACGAATCTGCGACGGTTGGTGCTCACAGGGAACGAAAGAGATCAAGGGCACCCCGGCTGTCTCGAGAAAGCAGCTCTGGGGAGATAGAGCGTCGCAGAAAGAAGAAGAAAAAGAAAAAGGCGAAGAGGGCCAAGAAGTTGAGGAAAAAGCGATCTGTGAGACGAGATGATGCTGCCTCTCCGGAGGAGAGCAGGAAGGAGGCTCTCCCGGACCAACCCATGAGCAAGACAGTTCTAACAGAGGTTTTTGACGAGGGCGCCGACATCTTTGATTTCCTTTACACATCTAGGCAGGAATGCGGAACTGCGAGGCCGTCTAAGTCGACAGCCTGTGGTAAGGTCCTTGTCAGGTCGGGCCTTCGCTGCCACTGCCACTTTGTGTTAGTTTCACAGTGCCCGAACGGGCACGTTGTGCGCAAGCATGCCACCTGCTAGCGGTGTAAATCTTGTGCTTTTGCCTTTTGCCAGGGCTGTTACCAGATCGGATTGTCTGCACATGTGGGGATTTGTGTCTCTGCAGAGTGAGCTCCTCCTCAGGTGATGAGTCCACTCATTCCTCGCTGCTGCTAAGGTGCAGTAAGGTACCATACAGCTGCCTTGACCAAAAATGTGTTGGTCTCGTGGGCTGGCAGTTTGGACTTGATGTTGCGATCTCAGTCGAGTTTTTCATGACACTTGTGCCTGAGGCTTACCGATGTTGCCTTGTTGGCTTAGGTGATTCTTGTCGAATGAATCATTTGATGAGGGGAGCGACCCAGAAGGGGTCTCAGATCGTGCCTATGAGGCAGAAGAAAGGTAGAGCAAGATGCTGTCGGGACAAGAGTCCATGTGTGCGATGGGGCGAAGTTCCTCTCGATGTGATGTTGATGTGCCGCGATACTGCCACAGATTTCGGGCTCTTTTGTTTGCGAGTGTAGCTTTGGAGCCATGACCTCGTCTACTGACTCGTCCGAGTACGGATCCTCCTCAGAGGAGACCGAGTCCTCGGTTAGCCTATCACCGGCCAAGAGGTCGAAGCCTCGCAAGTCCGTGAGGAAGGCCAAGAAGGGCAAGAGCCACAAGGCCAAGAAGGCCAAGTCTAGCAAGCATGCTAAGACTGCCAAGACCAAGAAATCCAAGCGGAAGAAGGAGAAGAAGTCTCGCAAGGAACAAACCACTGATCCGGGTGGTGATGGCTCCCGAAAGGAAAAGACCACCGGCTGGGGTGGGGACGATTCCTGGTCGGCTTGGACTTCAGCCTCTTGGGGACAGCGTGGTTCGGGCGGGTCCCGTGGCTGGAAGTCAGAAAAAAAAAGATGCCGCCCGTGGCTGGAAGTCAGGAGAAACAGATGCCGCGGATTCGAGAGCTGTTGGAGTCCCGGCTCTTGGCAAGGGTGGAAGCAGAAGCAGGGCTGGCCAAAGCCTGCGGCTAAGGCACAGATCCAGCACCCTGGTGCTGGCTGGGGGGATGATCGAAAACGTCGCTGGGGGCAGGATCCTGCCCCAGACGCCTGGACGGATTACTGGCAGATCGCCCGGCAAAACAATGAGAATGATGAGTGGCGAGTGCAGTGCCCGGCAGGGGCTCGAGACGAGGGGATTGTGCCAGTTCTCCTCACCCCCGATGAAAAGGAGATCGCTAGGTTTGCCGATGAAGTCCTTGCCTCCTTTCAGGCTCCCAGGAGCATGCTCGAAGCTGTACTTCGTGCTATGATGCAAGGGGGGCTTGAATTGCCCCATGATAAATGGGATCCCTGGCATCTTCCAGGTTCGTGGCGAAGGCTGGGGTCACTTGGTTCAGGGCCCCGGAGCAACATGTCCGGTTGGATGCCGGCACCGCTGAGCAGTTGCAAATTTCCTGCCGAGATGCAGGGGTAGCTGTTGGGCCGGATGCGGCAGTGGCCAGGTCGGACTTGACCTACATCCTAGGTGTGGCCATTACATACCCCTTTTAGGGGCTTGGCCGGAAGCGGAAATGAGTGCCAGAATCTTCCCGACTGGAAAACAGCCGAGAGCGGCTCATGTTGTGTATGCTTCGTCTAAGTGCCTTTTTGTTGCAGCGAAGGTCAGGACTTTGAAGTTGCAGTCCATGTGGTGCTTTCGGCTCCGGTTGGAGCGGCTGGGGTGCCATAGAACTATGTCGGGTCGAGACCCCAGGGACAGTGGCAAGGAGCTCTTTCATAGAAGTTGTGTTCATGGCAAGTGGCCTGTCCCGTTGCAGCCTTGGCAACAGCCAGGATTGCTGCCCATCTTTGACCCCATTAAGGCTATTTTTCCTGAGGAGCTGGGGGTTCCTCGGCAACCTCCCCCTGCAGGACTGTGTTCTGCTTTAGTGGCCGGGCCCCAGAACGATGCCTCGGCTTCGTCTCAGTGTGCTAGTGGAGAATGTCAGGCATGGGTCCGAGCTGTTAAGGCTAAAAGGACTTCCCGGAACGGGGATCGTCGTGAAGAGGCTTTGAGGAAAGTTCGGAAGCTGGTGCTGGATTTTGCCACCTTCTTTGACATTGCTGATCTCATGGCTGAAGATGAGGAAGGCGCTGACTCACTGGAAGCAGTGTTGGCTCCGAAATCACCCCTAACGATTTTGAAGCATGTTGGCCCTGCCAGAACATTCTGCGAGTGGTTGGTGAAGACATCCCACTTGCCACCCTTCACGGAGCGTATGTTGTGGTTTTTTGTGCAGTGTGTTCGCAAGATGCAGAGGACTGCAGCTACTACGTTGGATACCTCTTTGAAGGCGATTAAATGGTCCTACTACTCGTTGGGCTTAAAAGTCGCGTTGGAGGTCTTTGCTAGTCCAAGGCTGAGAGGAGCTATTGCTCAGCAGTTGAGTTCCAAAAGCCCCTGGGATCCGGCACCTCCGTTGCGGGTGTCGGAAGTGTTGCAGCTTCATTCGATTGCTGAGGACGAGTCGGTGTCCATGATTGATAGATGTGGGGCTGTGCATTTCTTGGCTATGTTGTATGGTAGAGCAAGGTGCTCTGACTGTCGTTGCATTCACTCCCTCGTGATTGACAAGAACTCGCAGGGTTCATGGGATGAATCTTTCATCGAGTTGTCGACAGTGCATCACAAGACTGCTCGACTGGATGCCCAGCGTCGGCGACTCTTACCTATTGTGATTCCGGGTTTTGGTATTGCTAGCAAGCCCTTCGGCGAGATTTTCTGCTCTGTGAGAGCCAGTGCAGGTTTGCCCATGGAGATACTTGACGAGCCTTTCTTGCCGGCACCCTCCCCGACAGGCGAATGGACTAAGGAGCCGTTGGATTCTAGCGAAATCACGAGGTGGCTTCGCTACCTTTTGCCTAGGCCGTCTGGCGAGAAGCCTCTTTCAAGTCACTCGCTCAAGGTGACACCATTGTCGTGGTTCAGCAAGTTTGGAGGACCTCGGGAGGTTAAGCGGGTACTTGGCCACCATTCTGATGCTGCCACGGGCTCGGATGCGGTGCATGGCAGGGACGTCCAAAGTCCCGCCCTTCGTGAGTTTTCGGTGATGCTCAGTGCTGTTCGAAGTCAAAAATTTGATCCAGATAGCACCCGCAGTGGCATGTTCCTTTCCGGCTGGACCAGGGAGTCCATTATCAAGGCTGCCGCTCTCCCGGTAGAGGCAGAAGCACAGGACAGCGATGATGGTTTGTTTGGATACTGCACTGAATGTAGTGTCGGATGTATCCGATTCTGAGCCGGAGGACTCTGAGGGGCCCTCCTTTTGGGCCCACCCCAGCAGTAAGATTTTGCACAGAACTGTGCTTGGCTCGGCTACCTTTATGTGTGGCAGGCCTTTTGGGGAACACTACAGTAGAATTCCACTGGCTCGTGCACAGACTTACCCGCAGTGTGCCAAGTGCTTTGCATAACACAGGTCGCATTGTGTGAGGCGAAAACCCGAAAACGGATTGTTTGCCTGCATGTCAGTCAGCATTTTGCATGCGTGTTCTGAAGCTTGTGCCTCAGATTGCAGAGTGCCGGCTCAAAGGTGACTCCTTCCGAGGTTGCAATGACGAGCTTGGTGGACTCGGCGCCCTATCTGGTCCAACGGGCCACTGAGGTGTCGCTGACACAGCGAGTGTCAGAAAAGCTGCATTCCAAGGGCGTTACTACCTTGGCACAGCTTGCCTTTTGTGTTGGGCAGCCCGGACAGGTTCTCACTCAGGCTGATTTCGACAAGTGGGCTGATAGCATTTTGAACGACATGACAGTGGGTGAGAAAGCGTCTTTGCGTAGACTCATTCTTGAGGCGCAGACATGGCTGAGCAGCCGGAGAATGCTTCCCCCAAAAAGGTGGGCCTGGCTGAACGAAACTCCCGCATGGACCAGCTCCGATCTCAGTTGGTCGGGGTGTCGATCACGGGGCAGCTCGAACCTAGCCATGCCTTGCTAGATATGACAGTGCAGCAGTGGGACAATCGTTGCCTCAAACACATTGGTCCTGAGAAATGTCACAGTAGAGAGGATGAGGTCCAAAACCTCAAGCCTTTGTCTACCAGCATCTCGCTGGAAGGGGGCAAGTTGAAGATCACAGAGGGTGCTGGCTTGGATGACAGGGACATCGAAGGGTCTCTCCAGGTTGTCAATGCTCTGAGACGACGAGGCATTGCCTACGCTTTTGCTCGATTGATCAGTTGGGCCAGGCATGAGGCGTACCTTGCCTCATTGTTCGCCTACTTGACTCAACCTGCTCAGGCAGGTTATCGCAAGGTATCCCTTCGCCAGGTGCTTCGTGCCGACAAACTCGCCTTTGCTAAGATGGCTGAGGCCGGCGAGGACATACGAGCTGACGCTTCGGGCAAATTGCCGTTGGGTGAAGCCGTTTCAAACATCTTGAAGGATTACTCCCTCATTGTGGCATTGCTTCCCCTTGCTGATGTTGAAGGGCTGTCTGGCAAAGGTCGGCCAGCAAAGTGGAGTCGGCCGGGGCCCTATACCCCACCCTCTGGCAAGAAAGGTAAGTATGGCAAAGGTGCTGGTGGAGGCAAGGGGTTCGACTCTTGGGGCGGCAAGGGAAAGGCTCCCTTGAAGGGCAAGGACTTCAAGGGCAAAGGAGCCGGATCGTCGTTTGCGAGACAGGAATGGTTGCCGGAAGGCTTGCGATACCAAGGAGCTTCGGCTTGGAGCAAGCGTGGTGGAAAAGTGTGCTACGGTTACAATTTGGGGTCGTGTACCGACCCGGCTTGCCAGAAGGGCGAGCACTGCTGCATCATTTTCTCTTGTGGTGGCGATCATCCTGTCTCCCAGTGTCCCCGTAAGCCCAAAAAGATGTGACTCGAGGCACTGCCGGAAATTCCGGCAGTACCGTTGCAGGACCCTCATGATCCTGCACAGCAAGGGCCGATGATGCCCTGTAAGAGCGCCGAAGGTGCATTTTTCCTCGCAGATGATGCGATGGGCGGTGGGGGGGAAAGTCCCCCACGGCCGCTCGCTCCTCTGTTGTCGACAGAGCCGGCGTCTGTGGTCCTCAATCAGGGTTTGAGTCCAAGGCCCGTACAGGGTGAGGCTTCCTCCGCAGAAGGGGGGCCGTCGCGAGCTATTCTGCAGTGCTTTTCGGGGCCAGCTAGCTTTACTGCTGCAGCTTTGAGGCAAGGCCTCATGGCGTATGGAGTGGATTTTTTCCGACCTAAGGCGGCTGTGGCCCCAGTTCTCCAGATGGATCCTCCTTTTTCAGTGGCTTGAGGGTTCCAAGCTGGCAGGAGTGCTCATCTGCGTTCCCGCCATGGCATTGCCAGCTGATGTGATTCGATTTTGCGTGCATTTTGCGAGCAGTTGTTTGCAGAGATCACTTCCTTTGGTGATCGAGGGGCGGCCCGAGTCACCGCTTTGGTCGGCTCTTGGAGAGTCGAGGGCCCTCACAGGCCTTCCATTTGACTTAGTTGTCAACTGGAAAGATCACAAAAGCGAAACGACCCGTATCGTTTCAAACATGCCTGAAATTCAGGTGGTTTCGAGTACCACAGTTGTGCCAAGACAATCTGGTAGTCGGCCGACTAAGGAAGCTGGGTTTGCTTACCCGGCCGCGTTTGCGACCATGTTGGCTGATGTATTTTCCACGGCGATTGAAGCAAGGGGCATCCGTTGCCGAAGTGCAAAGATCGCCAATCGGCACCTTAGGGCATCGGCTATGTTGCAGTCCAGGGGCGCTTCGCCATACCCAGTGGTTGACGAGTGGAAGTTGGTGGTGTATGTCTTGGTTCCTGTCCAGTGTGGCTGCGACCCACTCGCAGGTGACAAGCGACTTAAGGAGGCTTGGCCAGTACCTCCCGGGGTGGCCGTGGCACCGAGCATGCAAGTGCTCCCGGCTGATTCTCAGCTGTTGTCACGGGCTCAGAGTGGGGGGCTGGTGAGCCCGCAACTCCAGCAGAAAATACAGGAGATGGGCGAAGTTTCCATACTTCGAGTAGGGATTCCATGGGATCCACTTGAGTTCATTGCTCAAGCAGGAAGGAAGGGACATCCCTTTCATCAACTTTCAAGGAGTAACTCCCATTTGGAGACTTTGATTCAGGAGCTTGTGTACAAGCCTGATGAGGTCCGTTCCCAGAGAAAGTCCTTCATACAGAGATGGTCCAAGAGGACCGTACAACTTGAGCCTGCTGAAGCAGAGCTGAAGAAGAGCATGTCAGAACA